CCTGCTGAAAAGCTCCTTTAGCATCCCTCGTCCTTATGGATTCTGGGATTCTGTCCCTTCTGGTGCATTCACTAACTGCTTACCTAGTGAAGTTGTGGTTTCACCTACTACTTCTACTATGATATAGCTGCTTTTCTCTTTCTTGTCTCGCTAAGTTGATACAGTTGCAGGTGATTTGCAGTCGAGACCCCCAGTTATTTATTGCATGCTTGATCTACATCTGGGCCTCTATTTTACTCCACTTGTCTTTAATGACTCCCTCATCCACAGGCCCTGCCGCCTGGTGCACTTCAACCTTTACCAAAGAGGCCAGCACTTGAAAAAAACAATGGTGCCACCACAGTCTTTAACCCAAGCGTTTTCCACTACCAACAGGCTCTAGCCAACATGCAGTTGCAACAGCCTACATTCATCCCTACAGGTAAGTGTCCCCTTACTTTCCCCAGCATCATAGTTGTCTTTTTTTATGACCTAGTCATTGAGCTAATGAGCAGATTTGTAAGAGTCCTTAGTGAAAGAGTTGTCAGTGTGCAGTTTTTTGTTTAAAATGGATGAAATTTAATGTTTATTGTTGGACTTTCTTTTCCCTTCACCTACTACAATTCAGAGCTTTTCACTTGTGAAGCTCCCTCCTTAGCCTTTTTTGTTTGGTTTGGGTTTTTTTTAGGCGGTGAAATTAAGAAAAATGTTTGCATGTTTCTTGAATTCATATTTTCTGTTTCTCTTCCTTATGGTTTAACTAGTTAATCCCAAATTAATTCTTTGACTCTTGCATAGCACTCCTACGGACTCATGTTAAACTGTCTTGCGGACCTCTGTGCCTGCTTGCTTGAAGCTGCAGGTACCTGAGCTTCTATCTCAGTGACCTACATATTCCAGCAGCTATGATGTTTGCAGAGGGAACGGTTCATCTTTAATAAATACAAATTACATAATCCTCTGTGAAGGCATATATTTCCCTCTTGCTTGTCTTTTGACCAAGATGATAGCCTAAGCTTTTTAAAAGCAATTTAACTCCCAGATTTTATTGTACCTTTAACGTCTCAGAGTAAAATTGAAAGATGCAGTGTGGTAATTCATATAGGACTCGAAATATTGATGTGGCAGATGTGGGTGCTGACTAGCCAGTTAACCTCTATTCATTGCAGCCAGATGAAGAACAAAACTTGTTTAGAGTATTAAGTGTTAGTCGTGGCTGTATTATCCCAAGCTGATAGCTCGTTTTTAATATCTTTATTATCATTGCAGAGCATTGTAACAAAATTAATGCCCAATGTTTTTAATGTTTAAAGCTGTATTCACTTGCCAGATGATAGTTACAAAATACACAGTGTTTCTCTGACCTGGCCCCTCAAGGTGAACACACAGGGGATCTGGACCTTGGCCTTGCTGTTCCTTGGGGCCAGGGGAAAAACTTTAGAGGCAGCCCTACACTGAGACCAAACTGTCTCAGGTGTGAGCATGGGTCCTGGGACCTAAACCCGGTGTTTGTGTGGCCTTTCTGTTATGAGAGCACTCGGGGACACTCAGAACTCAGCAGCTGCCAAGATGTTTTTCCAGGGAAGCAGAGTCTTCATGGAGAGACAGAGGGATGGACTTGAGTAGTAGCATCCCCCCTTGTGCTCTGCAAAGTGCTTTTGGAGGGGATGGGCTGAACTGGCCTTACCACAGCTCTGTTAAGTGCCAAGTGAAATACTTGTTCAGGAAACACTGATGCCTTTGAGAATGCCAAGTCCCCCAGCTGGCTCCATGCTCCTCGTCCTCGAGGTCGCAGTTGCCCAGGTTGACGTAAGGACACGCATCCCTGGTGCGAGCACCGGAAATTGGCTCTTGCGCGGCACTCGCTGTGCTCTTGGGCCCTGTCTCATGGCAGTGAAATTACGTGCAGGGCTGATGCACAACAGGTCTGTTTGCTGGCACGTGCTCTCATGTGAGGACATTAATGCTGGGTAGAGCAGCAAATTTCCAGTCAGAGGATGGATCTGTGATGAATTTGTCTTAGGCATTTTCCCTTGTGCAGCAGACTGCAGATCTGGTTTTGGCCTTTGCAGTGCTCTGGGAAGCAAAGCAGAGGAGTGGCACGTAGCAGCTCACACCATGGGGAGGGGAAGGGAGATGGTGGTTTTCTTAGTTTCTCCTGTTCAGTTACTGAGAGATCAGCTTCATGAATTGCCATGGTGGGGAGGGGGAAATAGCATCATCACTACATTTATTTCAAGTCCAGAAAACAACTGCCTCTTTCAGCGTGAACTAGAGACTTTGAATCCCAGTCCCTGCTTGCAGGATTAAATTGCTTTTGGAAAGTCAGTTTTAACATGAGTATTATATTCCTCTAAGGGCAGGGTTTTTTTCTGCTGACATGATCAGAAAGAAATCAACATACTTGAAAACCAAAAAAAACCCCAAAACAACCCTGATTTCTAATACAGATCATATAATGTAATACCAAAGTGGGAGAAGAAATATGTTTTCTACTACCCAAGAATTCAAGAATTAATTTGGTTTGCAATGATCTCTTAAAACTGAATTTAAACTATTTATATACCAATACGCAGAATCTGTTTGCATGTGCTTAAATACTGAATGCTGCAAAGAGAATACCTGCTTTTTAGTTAAAGTGATTTCTAACACTGAAGCTTCACTAATGAAATATCCCTTTTGTTCATCTTTCCACGCTTCAATGCATGGTGTGCAGGGTCAGTTCTGTGCATGACACCCACTGCAAGCGTTGGTAGGTTTTTCTACACAAACTTCTCAACTTTTCCTAATCTGAAAGAAACAGCAACTTAGTATGCATCAGTGAGAACCTGGGTGGCTGAGTGGTGTGATTGTCTATCTGCTGTCTTCTTTGAGGCTTAAATGGTTGTATCCCTTTTAATTTCTGTGCAGTGCAGTGTTTCGTGTGACTAATAGAAGAATCCAAGGTGATGTGTTCCCACCCTATTCAGTTCTGCTGCAGGGACAAAAATTTGTCACCTAAATGTCTTTACAACCCATTTAAGTCATCCAAAAAAAAGGAAATAGCAATGGGAAGATCCTGTTGGGTTTTTTGGTTTTTTTTTTGTATCGGGCATCAGGTGCATTAGAGTTTGAATTTTTGGTTGTCCTTCTGAGGACATTTTAGGAAGCTGGTTTAATAAAGGTGCTAAGGAGGACCACATCTGGGGTCATCCTCTCTGCCAGAGCAGGATGCTGCTTGTACAGCGAGGGAAGCAGAGCTTAGACCATGGACTGGCTGAAGATCATCTCTAGTGAAGTGTCAGCTGTGCAGGTACAAGGGACTGTAGGGAGGTGCCACTGCAGTTGCGCTTGGGGTGCAGTGAGGCAGCAGAGCTGAGTCCATGCTTGTTGCTGCTGCAGGGATCCAGTATGCTCAGGCTCAGTATCTGGGTCTTACTGGGAACCTGTGCAGATCTTTGAGGGACCATCCCCTCTCTCTGCAGCTGCTGGGCACAGCAGGGTGGGTGAAAGTTGAGCTTTCATGCTCTAACCAATGTTATACAAGACCACCAGCATCCAGATGTGTGCCTACTTCAGCCAGAGGGAGAGAGGTGGCAGCAGGAGCCCTGGGGAGGGTGTCAGACTTTTGAGGAGCAGGTCTGAAAGCTTTGACAGGAATGGCTAAGCACTCTGTGCTCGAACCTCCCCATCCTTATAGTGCAGGGAGGACGCAGCGCTTGCATGATGGGGAGCTGAGCCCTTCAAACACACCTCTGCCTGTAGGAAGCCCCAACCCACAGGCTCCAGTGTCCTGTGGCTGGAGTGTGCCCAGCCTGGCCATGCCTGCTGGAGTGGAGGGGAATGCAAGTCTGCTTCCCCACAGCATGTTTGCGGGGATGGCCAGGCTTTCCTGCAGGCTTCCTGACCCTGCAAACCTCCCCTGGGTTCGAGGGCTGCCCGTGTGTGCTCCGGAGCATCCCCTCCAGCACTGTTCTCTGCGGGATGCTCAGCTTCAGGAGGCTGCTGAGCTCCCGGCTGCTGTGTTGTCCTTTTGGAATTTGTAGCTGTTTAGATGCATTTGTGTATTTTTTTTCCCCTTTCAGCCCCCTCCCCTCTCCATCCCCTACCCCACCCCGCAAAAGGGGAGTTTTGCCAAATTGTCTAGAGTTAGAGCGGAAAGGAAGCACACTGAATTTGTATGGAAGAACTGGGGCTGCCAGCTGCTCATTTGCCATGCCTCCGGCTCTGTCCTGTGCTGACACATTGTCCCCACTAGAGAGGCAAGAAAACCTGGTGAAAGGGCTGCGGCGGCCGCTGCTAAGTGCATCATG